GAGGTGTCATGTCAAAATGTTGATGGTTATAGGAGGTACATGTCAACTGATTTTAGAAGTTTGTAAAATACACAGTGCAGCACTTTTAAAACCTTACACGCTGATTTAACGCGCTCATTTTTGCGCCCATGACATTTGAAATCACCTACGACCACTCCTAAATGTGCCACAAGTTTAGCTTCAAAAAATAACTTTTCATTCATCGGTGTACTCGTCAAATATCGAAGATGAACCCTAAACTTCATCTAACTTTTCATGTTTATAGCTACCCTAGTGATGTATGTTGAACAGGAGTTCAAAGTAGATCCAAAACACACCTAAAAGCATCAGAACTGAAATTTAACCACAAAGCAGTGTACTATTAATAGCTCTTTCATTGCACAAGCTGCAACTTCTTACATCGAATCCAACACTGCCACCCTCTGGACAAACTCTGTACTACAAGGACTGAGAGGTGATGTAACTGGGATGGGATTAAAATGAACTGTGGACTGAAGACTTTAGGCCCTGTGAATTCATGTCAAATTAAAGTTTATGTTTAACAACAATGCTCAATGATTGAGTTAAATTTTCAGGTAAAATAAAGTCAAAGGGAGGAAAGTTACTGCAAAGACATTTTCCATAAAGTTCATCCAGTGTTTGTTGCATCTAAAAATTTAATCTACTTTCTGTTTTCTTAGAGTAGAGATGTGCATGTTTACTTGTAATTATTGTGGCCAGATGCACCAGAATCAATCTCACCAGAAAAACAAACTGTTGATATTTTTTATTATTATTATAGATCTGAAATACCTGTTAATGCTGTGTTTAAACTGAGCCTGTATTTTACAACATGTGTGTTTTAATCCTATAACGTAATAAGCAGGTGATGTCTCATAGGGTGGCGCTGACTGGAACTTTGGCTATGTTCACACTGCAGGTCAATTCTGATTTTTAACTCATATGTGACTCATATCGGATTTTTTCATGTCAGTGTGAACAGTGCAATTCTGATTTGTTCTAATCCGACCCAGGCCTCTTTTGTATGTGGAATAAATTGGATATGTATGCGTTGTGACTGCAGTGTGGACGCTCAGGTCATGTTCATCCAACCTATACCAATATGCAACAAACGTCCACATTGTTCGACAACACAAACAGGCGCGGAAAGCAATTTGTGCTTTGTGTGCATGCGGGTCACTTCACGGACACATTCCGTTCACATTAGATGCCGCATTCGTTGTTGTAATGTGAACAACCGCACAAAAAGATCGGATTTAACAAAAAAAATCTGAATTGTGCGCCATAACCTGCAGTGTGAACGTAGCCTATTTTGCTTGAGTAGATGGAGATAAAGTTGTTTGCTAGCTCTGCTAACGTTAGCCACAATCAGAACCTTGCTTGACTTCTTTTTCTAAATACTCTGTGATTGTTAGGTTAATGATTTTTTATTTTAATTATCTCTGGTCAAATGTTCTTCCTTGAGCTGCGTCACCCCGCTGTGGTCCGTAATGGACTGGCCCGAGGTCTCATTACAAACAAGCGGCTGCTGGAAGAGAGTCGTTGAGTTGTGTTTAGTCTCTTTGCTTTAGAAATGAGTCAAAGTTAAAAAGATGTTTGGTGTCTAGTACTATGGCTGAGACCCTATCTGTCCTGTTAATGAAGTTAGGTGCTGTTCTGAGCATTATTTGTGGCTATAGAGTGGCGTTTTGGTTGAGGTTTGTTTATGGCTCCTCAGACCCCTGTGTATTGCTATCGTGCGGTCGTTACTAAAGTTGGTAAAACTAGAGAAGCAAGCGGTCAGCAACATTCATCTCTCGAGGGGGTGTCTAACTCGGTGTCACGGTGTGTTTGACCCTAAATTAATTTTACTCTGGAATATCCCTTTATGGGAGACCAGGGAGAGTCATTTCCACCAATAGGAGTCCCGTGATCATTTCAGTTTTTTCCACCCTTTAAACATATTTTTTCTTGTTTCCTTGAGATAAGAAAGTTAATTTCTCATGATAGGTTAAATTGTCATCCTGCGATAGCAAATATCGGTTCTGCAGGTAGCTAATCTTTTTTTTTTTTTTTTTGTTCTTTTACATGTTTATGAATACTGTCTGATATTAAGTCTGAACTTTTCAGAAAGAACTGAAAGAAACTCTTCACAGAAAAACTTGGTGACATTTTACCTTGCACTTAACTATCTTGCACTTATGGTTAGATGCTAAACTGCATTTCGTTGTTCCTGTACTTGTACTGTGTTCAGTGAAAATAAAGTTGAATCTAATCTAATCAGATTTTTCTGACCCATATAGGTTTATTGTGTGTCTAAACTAACTAAGCTAACCATCTAAGCTAACAAGCTAGCCTAGCTAAAATGTTAGGCTAACAGTGAGTTAAATAAGCTTATTTTGTTGTAGAAGACCTGAAGATATCCCTGTAAATCTGCTTAGTTGAATTTGAGTATTATGCTAAATAAAACTGAAATTATATACGCCTGGTATATAGCTTTATGACAATCCCTCATTTCCTTTCCTTCCTTCCTTCCCTTCTCTCCCTCTTTCTCCCTGGTTGTCAGTGTTTCCTTCACTGCTCCCCTTTAAGTGGCTTTGATTGACAGGTGGGCTATATCCATGCAATATCACCCAGCGCACGTTCCTATTCCCTCCTGGAGCCTCCATCCACCGGTCAAATTAACCTTCCGTGCCGACGGGAGGGGGCCCTGCGTGGGCCAATCAGCAGGTGATTAGGCTGGGGGTGGGAGGGGTGAGGGGTCACCGCGATGGGGCCATCGCAAGCCTGATTGGTTTCAATCAGCAGCCCGCCGCAAGGACAGCTGGGAGCTGAGCCGCAGTGAGCGCTAATCAACGCGTCCCACAGTGAGGCATGAACAGAGACACACACTGAGCTACACAAACACACACACACGCATGCACACACACACAGGTTGATTGATGTTGGTGTGCACACAGTGACAACACGAACATCCCTGTGTGTACACACTCACACAGAGGCAGGACACACACTGAAAAAACACGCACAGCAAGACACGGGAAGCAGAAATGAACAGTCAAGAGCACAACAGATAAACAGAAAAACCCCACAATGGAGGAACAGAGCAGAGAGAGAGACACGCTCAGAGAGTCTCACACTTAATTGAATGACTAATTGCATTGGATTCGTTAATTTGGCCACTGGCACATCTGATAGGGGGCCCGTGACATTGGTTAGCAACGCTCTGTCCTACAAAACCACAACAACGCCTCTCCTGTGATGTCTCAAATGTGGAACATCTCCCATTCTCTCTGCTACGTCTCATGTTATGCTCATTCCCCTTTGAATCTCAGAGTCCAGCATCGACCAATCAGTGATCAGGTGACACAGGAGACATCACAAACTGTGAAGTGAGGCTGTTTAGTGGAGTAGACGTACAGATCTGCTCTGGTTGTTTCTATTTATGGTAACAGTGAAACTAACTGAGAAGACAGCCTGCAACTTAAGGTGTGTTTCCCTCTCACTGCACCGTAACAACAAGGATCTGTCGCAGAAAAGGCTTTAAACTTCGTACAATTTCGGCGAAATGGAAACAAACTTTTAAAAGTTTAGGTCGCGTAGCACTGTGGTGGTGTCTTCTGTTATCTTTTTGAGTCAAACGAAGCACAAAAATCAAAGTTTTTCAGTGATCACACGCTAAGAGATGTAAGTAAGGAGACTCAGAAAAGCAGGTCACACTTTTATTCTTAAAAAAAAAAAAAACACGAGGAAAACACTTGAATATTACTCAGGTCTTTTAAAGTTCTTGTTCTGTATGTGTGTACAAATGTGGTGGAGAATGTATGTCTTCTGATGCAACTGAGACCTGTCGAAAGATGAATTTCTGTCACTTTTTTGTGTCAGACAATAAACTTCTTCTATTCTGTTCTATTCTATTTCTGAAGAAAAATGAGTCATCACCAGCTTCTTATGAAACCTAAAGATAGATGATAATTAAACACATAATCACACAACTACGGAAGAGGACTCAGGCCACTGGAAAAAAACAAGGTTCGATATAACTTTTTTTAGATTATTCTAAGATTATAGTCAGAATTCTGACTTTGATTTTAGAATTATGACTTTTTTTTTCTCAGAATAACGATGGAAGAAATTATATCAGAACTTTTTTTTCCCAGTGGCATCCTCCCATCCTCTGTACATAACATCCTTCCAAGGCAGATGACTTTCTCTAGTATCACACGTCTAAGTAAAAAAATACAAAAATAATCAGAGTTTACATTGATGATGTTGTTTTTAAAGCAACTTAAAAACACGACCTTAGCCCCTACACCGAGATAAAGTAAAAGAGGTGACACAACTCTACCTGAGACCTGAACCTGCTCCAAACAAATAAAAAAATAATCATGTGACAGGTAGGAAAGGATTTCATGTGAACAAAGACTCGGGTTATCCTGCCGAGGGAGAGGTTCAAGAGATCATTGAAGTCCAGGGAAATATTACGAAATATTACAATTATTGAATATTTCACTGGAAAGGTTAGGATAAAAGTTGTTTAGTTTTGATACGTTTTTTAGGGTGGATTTCTAGTTTCATTTAGTTGATGTTACCTGAAAAAGCTTTCGTTTTTATTAACTGTTTTATTAGTTGTTTTTTTGTTTGTTTTTGTAACATGGGATAACTGACAAGGGCAAGACCTCCCCAAACATTGAATGCTGTGTACAAAAAACTTAAATCAAGGCTATTTTTCCTGTGTGGGCTCATGTATTTATGGAAGTGGACGTGATTTGATTAATGGGAATTATAAAAAAAAAATAAACAGCTAATGGTGGTGAGATGTTCAGTTTAATGCCAGTTTGTCCCCTGCTCACCCTGTCAGGATTCTTATTTGCATAACCACATGATCCCGTTGACAGTGTAGCTGGCACACTCAAATATCTCCTCAGCTGTTTGTTATCGACTTTACGCTCATTCTGTATTCTGGTGAGCTGTGGGTGCGAGTCCAGGACAGGAGAGCATGGTGGCACACCAGAGCTGATTTACTGGCTTTGATTACTCGCTGGATTTGATGCGGGGACCTCCGTATCTAAAGCTGGGTTTTGGATTCCTTCCAAGCTCAATGAAGATGGGACAAAATCTCCATCTTTCTCTTCAATACTACCACGCATTGTAAAGTTTCGGACATCTTGGAGGAAAGCGCTCTGGGTGTTTGCTTTCTGCTTGAACAGAATGATATAAGACTTTGTGATGAACTGACAGAACAGGACGCCATAAGCTGTGATGAGAATGACGGCCATCTCCACGGCTGGGCGGTACTGGTTTGTGCTATTGGCATAAACTGGGCCAAAAATGATCCAGCAGATGAAGTAATTGAGCATGCTGAAAATAATGAACTTTGCATCATTGTAACTCTGAGGCAGTTTTCTGCCCTTGAAAGCAAGACCAAAGCAGATGAGAGCCAAAATGCCAATGTAGCTCAACATGGCACCAAATGCGAGGTACGATGTCAGACGGCACCTGTGCAGAGACACTTTTCTGTCTGTCCTTTTCAATTCGGGTTTTGGGGGCTCGAGGGCAAGCCACAGGGCACAGATGAGTGCCTGAACCAACATGCACACGGCAATAATTAGGTATGGCTGATAAAGCTTCCTCAGGACTCTCTGGGTGCTGGGGTCGAACTCAAAGGCCATGATGATCTTAAAGGACTTGACCATGATACAGGAGACACACAAGGTGAAGCTCAAACCAAACAGGACCTGCTGTGTTTGGCAGCGCCAGTCCACAGGCTCTCCACCAAATGGTATCACGCTCGCAAATGTGCTCAAGAGTGAGAAGAGGAGGAGGACGCCAATCGGCCCCACAGATGCACGAACAACGGGTGTATTCCAGTGTGCAAAGAAGATGATCCCAACAATAATGGTAAGCAGAATTCCAAGACAGGTAAATCCTAACAGTATTTCCTGATAATCACTGTCCCACATCAAAAAGACAACGTCCCTGAGAAGACATCTGTCACCTTCTTCAGCAGAGTAATGAGTGGTTGTGTTACACTGATGACACTCCGCAGAATCTGCAAACAGTAGGCAAACGCTCATTTTGATTAGTAAAGTAGATGAACCCTCTCCTTTAGACTTGAAAATGTGTTTTTCTCTCTAATAGACTGTATATCTCATCAGTATTATTGATATTTACCAGGTTTGGATACATACCGCTGGTGTTGGAGAAGTAGTCCAGAGGGCATTTATGGCATTCGTAGCAACAAACAGGCTGACCCTGGGCTGAATGCTTTCTGTAGCCTGGAGAACAGCTGTGTGAGCACCTGGAAGTCACTCCTGTCTGAGAAAAGGAAGTGTCCTCATTATTTTTGTTCCTTAGTTGGGAGAATAAAATGAAGCTCAACTTTGAAAAATGTCTTACAAAGTTTAGACTGCATAGCAAAGCAGATTCAAGAAATCTGAATCCTAAAACTGGGGATGTACCAGTGACCATAAGTGACCACATCGGTGGACTCCGCAGCTGATGGCAAGAGTCCTTTTTTTTTCCCGGACGCCGGAGCATGCAGCATAAATTCAGCACAGATTAGTCCGTGCTGGAAAGGACGCAAAATAAAACATCCGGCTTCTTTTCAAAGTCAAACACTACATGTTTCAGACGGATCGTAATTCACACCATGCAAACAGGCGGAGACAAACAAGTGAAAGGTTTTTAGACAGCATTTAACCCCGTTGACGCCATGGATGAAGAGATGCTGGTTTTAGAAGTCTAGAGGTGGATTTCCTCCTCTGGAAGGACGTAATCCACTGCTTATATGGTTATGTTGCTGTCTGTATAGAGAAAACTTGTTATCACATGATTGCACGTTAATCCGCGATTTCTTGTGAGGTCTCATGGTTCCCGCTGTCAGTAATCCGCCACGAAATTCACCTCACAAACAGATCTGGTAAGAATTGGTGGACGGTGAGAATTGCAGCCATTCCGGATCTGAGACGTTTTGGATGCGGTGGAAATTGGCGGTTACAGTAACTACATGTCAACATTGCAACCAGGGGAGAGAAACATTTTTATTCTGTGTAATTAGTTTCTAAAGTTTGTCCACAGCTCCATAGGCATTGCTGGAGGAGGCGGGATTTATGACCTATGCTGCAGCCCGTCACTAGAGGGTGCTGTTCTCACGGTGGATTCACACAGCAAAGAGGCAGACAGCGTCTATTCTATATACAGTCCATGGGAGCGTCCCAACTTTGCAGTCATAGCTACAGAGTTGATGTCCACCCTGAGAGACTTCTTTGCTGTTTTGGGGTCATGTAGAGACATTAGCATGAATAATATCAGTCCCTTTCCTAACCATTTAAAATCTCCTCCTTAGTGCTTTGACAAACAGGAGGAGAACTGTTTGGTGACACCCATCAGGAGAGCAAATACTTACTGTGACCCTTTGGTAATCTTTTAACGTCTTCTTGGAGATGAAAGTCAGACTCTGGTTTTGTATCGAATACTGAGCAACAACGTAGTTCACATCCAGAGAGTTTTGCATCTCCCTGCACAGGACGACATCATATCCTGTATTGAGGTCACCCTTTTTGTCAAACTTGTAGGGTATACCATCCATGTAGAATGTCGCTGTTTTCAAGGCTCCTAGTACCTGCAGATACAAATGTTTGAAACTGTAAAACGTTTTATAGGTGTTTTAGTATAAAAACTGCTGACAAGAGTGTTTCTGTCATGTTCCGGTACATGAGTGACAGGTGTGTGAATCCACTCACCTCCCAGGGCTGTAATCTCTGGGTTGTCTTGCAGTCCCTGTTGACACAGAGGTCTGAAATAGCTTGAACAACAGCTCTAACTGCCAGCTCCACATTGGCTACAGAGGGATGTATCTTCCTCATTAATTCCTCATTGGCTGTCTCCAGCTTCCCAGGCCTCCCTGGTTTCCATGGTCTCCATTTTCCCACCTCTTGTTTCTGCTTTTTCTCTAAATAGTCATGTAAGAATGTGTTGTTCTTGTGGTGGTCAGGGTTTACATCAAGGTTTCTGAGATACTCCTTGTACTTGGTTGTGTTCCCAGATTTCAGAATGATCCCTAAGATTGTTCCCGCCATTCTCAAACTCCAGATGTTAAGCACTCTCTTCGATCCTGACCAATAATCACTTGCCACCCAAACTCTCCCTCTGCCTCGGGGGTCCTTCAGTAGACCCTTGAAGAGATCAATCATATGGTCGACTTTGGCGAAGGACACAATGACCGTTGCATTCTGATTTTCGGTGATGCTTTTGACTGTATCCTTGATGTCATCCTGCAGTGACGTGTCAGTCAAAACCTCTGGGAGTATACTGATGAAGGCAAAGCAGATGTTGTTGCGCTTTGCATGCCACTGGAGGCGTTGAACTGCGTAACTACCAGTCTCACTGTCAGTTGCCACTAAACCGACCCAGGTCCAGCTGTGGTTTTTTAGAATTTCAATGATGGCTCGAACTTGGTAGTCATCCTCTGGTACGGTCCTCATGAAACTCGGAAAACGGGTTTTATCACTGAGCTGACCACAAGTTGAAGCATAACTAACCTGTGGAATCAGCAGAGAAAAAAATCAGTCACACTAGAGTCATTTACATAAACGGGTGATTCAGCATTATCCATCTCTTGTCTATCATGTAAAATTTATCCTTTTTGAATTCAGAGAGGGTCTTTAGGCTCAGTGATACCTGAGGGATTTCCTCCAGGTTGAGCAGCCTTGTAACAGCTATGGATATCTCAGAGTAAACAGCACCAACAACAGCCAGCACAGGTGGGTAGGGCTGCTCCACACCGTTCCTCCAGATGTCTGAATCTAAATAAATATTTAGGGAGAAAATGTCCCCCCCCCCCCCCACCCAAAAAAAAAAAAAAAAAAAAAAAAATTTCCAAGTAATGACTAGTTTTATAAATTTTTTTAATTTACCCATTTTGCAAACCGAAGGTTTTTCACGGGAGCTTTGATGCAAAAGAGGAAATAAACATGTCTTTTGGATTCCGAGCAGTCTCACAATGTTAACTCTTGTGAATTTTTTGAATACTTGATTCTGATTGGTCAAAAACCCATAACAGCAGGTGTTATTTCTGATTAGCACGTCACACAACTAAAAACATCTTTGGGCACATTCATATACTGTTTATGATATAACTTTTCTTGGTAACAGAATGACAAAAATATAAGTTTCTGATGGACTACAGGTAAACAGCATGGAGGCATTATTTATCATTTTTCATTATTAAACAACATATTCACCATCTGAAAAAAAAAAAAAGTTGAATTTCAGATGTTGTACTCACTGTTTAGCTTCATAAAGGACAGGGCGTTTTTCAGAGCTGTGGTAACATCACCACAGGAGTCCAGTATATGATATCCAAGGGATAAATTTCCCAACTCATGCCCCTTGTTTACCTCCTCCACTGCCTGAATCATTGCCAAAGACTGGATAAGCCGGGATTTACTGTACCTGAGTGATAAAAAATGTGACATTATCTCTCACTGATACCTGTAAATACTGCAGTCATAGCCCCATAATAACACCAGGATACAAAAACATACCTGTCACAGACCCCTGCACCGGGGCCATCCTTGTGTGGACTTTCGTGTATTGGGAACAATCCGCCAATAATAATGTCCCCTGGAGCTTTGGCATGATCAAAACCCTTAGCTGGACACATCCAAACAAGTAACATTGTGGCAAAAATATAGAAACCAAAGAACTGCTTCATTTTGCTTTGCGCTCTGTGTCTGAATCTCCTCACAAATTTCAACTGTAAATGTCTCATCTTAGTTTGTAGACAAGATAGCCTGTCAAAGCTTGTTATGTGATTCATCACTGTCATGACGTGTTATTCAAATCATTGGGGAATGCAAAAACTGCTGGTATCTTTATGTAAAAAAAATAAAAAAACATAACACTAACACTGTGGAACTTACTGAATGAAGACTACTTTGACATTTCTGGGAATTTGCATCCACATTCAAACCAAAGAGAGCAGGTGCTGAGCATAAAGAGAGTAGTGTTTGATGGTGCACTGGAAAAATAAACATCAACGGCTGAAACATTTATGCAACTTTTTGGTGTACAAAAATAAATAATATATTCATGTGCCATAGCAGCAGAACAGAGGGAGCTTTCAAAAACTATATGCTATTTTGAAAACACACCAGGTGGTGTTAACAGGTCATACTGGGAATCTGAAAACTGAAATGCATCACTTGACTTTTAGTTTTTCATTCTGACCTTATGTATTCATTTAATTTGTATTAGTTGCAAGATAATCAAATTACTACTTTTTTTTTTAGACCATTTCAGACCAGCTCTATGTCATTTCTTCATGGAAATGCAATCAGACTGAGACACTAAGGCAGAAGAACTACAGCGTCTGCAGTGTAAATAATTAATATGGTGGGAAATGATAAAGAAATGATCATTAATGTTCTTCCTTGAGCTGCGTCACCCCACTGTAGTCCATAATAGACTGGCCTGAGATCTCGCGACAAACAAGTGGCTGCTGGAAGAGAGTAGGTGAGTTTTTAGTCTCTTTGCTAAAGAAATTAGTCAAAGTTAAAAAGATGTTTGGTGGCTAGTACTATGGCTAGGACCCTATATGTACTGTTGATGAAGTTAGGTGCTGTTCTGAACATTATTTGTGGCCATCGAGTGGCGTTTTGGTTGAGGTTTGTTTATGGCTCCTCAGACCGCTGTGTATTGCTATTGTGAGGTCATTACTTAAGTTGGTATAACTAGAGAAGCAAGTGGTCCGCAACATTCATCTCTCAAGGTGGTCTCTAACTCGGTGTCACGGTGTGTTTGACCCTAAATTAAATTTACGCCAGAATATCCATTTAAATATGTCTGGTACTGGCCCTGACTCAGTACATGCTATCATGACAGACAGCCATCTCAACACTAGTGTCTAATCAGAACTGAAAAACAGTCAGTCTGCTGTTGTTCAGTCTTTTCTTGCTTCCACCCGGGACGTGTCTTTTTTCCCCCAGGAAAGTCGCAAAATCGCATCGAGCTTGACGTGTCTAGTCAGGGGCATCAAAATACGCCTCACATATTTTCACGTTCTATATTCTATACATGTCTATTAGACCTCTTTTAGACCAAAAATTGCTGTGGGTTACTTTTATTTAGGGATACGGCCTAACTTACCCCATACACGGGGTAAGTTGACTATGAGAGACCACTTTTTTTGGCATTATATATAATCAAGACAGTTATGTTTACACTCATTCTTTTGGTTTGCAGGGATGCACAACATCTTGAAATATATGCAGATACACAAGTTAGAGACAAAACTATGATTGACTTGATGTAGTGATCCGAAACATGAAAAATGGCTCATCTTACCCCACTCTCCCCTACTGTTCATTTCATATAGCCTTCCTTTAAACTGCAGTTTTGAGTGTTTTTGATTCTATTCATCTTAAATACCAAAATATCCCTCAGGTCCGTGGGAATATCGATGAATTATGGCGGAAACACGGACTGTTTTTCCCGCCTCTCTTCCTCCTCTGGGCTCGTGGAATGTTTAGTACGGGGAAGCACGAGACAGCAGTCTGCTCAGCTGCTTCGTCCGCGCATGCGCCAAACATATGTGGGGGAGAGAGAGCGGCGACTAAGTGAAACATATTTAAGTATTTACAGTAGAAAGGAGTTTTACTTCTGAAGGAATATAAGACAACAAAACAGGTAGGAAAGTCTACGTTTTGACATACTGACAGGTTATTTCCCCCTTTAGCGCTGTAGACTGTGTAACATTGAGAGAAGTAGTTAAGAAGTAGAAGCTGATGTTTACACAGGAGTCATAGTTTGGGCAGCCTGATGCTCACTGTATTAGCATTAGCATTAGCATTAGCAAACGGTGTGTCTAGTTCGGCTCCGGTGAGCCGGTTCGACATCACACAACAAGCAACTGTTGAACTTTTAAGCTCGACGAGACTATTAACCTCCATAACACTAACCTCAGTGTGACACAGAGCCTCAGTTAGAGGAGTTAAACTGTCAAACAGCTGTGAGAAAAAGCGAAAGTTCAGCTGTAACATGAACAGAAGTGTCAGTTAAGTCCTGTTATCTTACAGTGACTGTCTGATAACTTTAACTTTAGTTCAGAGTTCAAGTATTCAGCGGTTAAATCTCACATTATAATAACTTATAACTGCGTCCGCGTGACTCTGAGCGTGTCCGTCTGTTTCGGGGGTGGGTGGGGCTGTGACGGGCAGGATTTGACACGGATTTAACACACACACACACACACACACACACACACACACACACACACACACACACACACACACACACACACATAGTCTGTCTGTAGATTACTGAAGCTTCCGGCAAAGTCACGGTTTAAATCCACAAACAAACTTTGATTCAGGGTTACAGATTAAGGAAAGTTCAGATCTACTGTTGTAATTATGATGTTACACACATCTGTCAGGATTTAGACTGTGAAAAAACACACAGTGGTGTACTCAGACTTGATATTATCACCTAAATTAGTTCAACTTTACATTTAAATGTGTTTAATCCTTATTCTATTTGTACCTTTGCTTCTCTACACTTCAGATGAAATAGACTGCTTTTCTGTTCTTGACATCTTCCTTGGATATTCTCACTGTCCATACAGTAGGGCTGAACGATAAAACAATAACGATATATAGTGAAAATTAATTTCCCTTAATCCATTTAAACTGGGACAGCATGTACACATTTCAACCTTCCAAGCCGGCGGCGGAGATACGTCATTTTGTGACATTCTGTAGTTTTTTAATAATTTCTGGAGTCGTGGCGAACCAAATCGTTATACCTGTCTGCCTCTGATAGGCCTATAAAGCTTGATAAAGCGATCGAATTCATGCTCAGATCTTGCAAGATCGGCCTATTTTAATTTATGGGCTACTTTTATTTAAGATATATTTTTCTTATGGAGCTCCAATTAAAAAAAAGTACTCCTGTGGTTATATAGTATTTATGTTTGCATTTTATTGTTCTTTGCACAGCTGAGCATAGTTTCATCTGGCCAGTTTGAATAGAAATACTTGTGACGTGTCATATTTGGCTATGACTGTGACAAAACATTTGCTCTCATTTCGCGAAAACAATATCAGGATGTATATCGTATATCAATATTCAGCCTAAATATATCCAGATATGACTTTTGGTCCATATTGCCCAGCCCTAATATAAAACATGGTGTTCTGCCATGTTTTGGTAGACTATAGTAATAGCCAATGAAAATGGGAGTTGCTTCGGGTCCGCTCCGCGCTGAACCAATCATGTGCTGAATTAGAACCAAGTAGCAAACAATTGCGTAGCAGCAGACAGCAGCTACACACAACCATAGCACTTTAACAGGTGAAGCCAACAGCAAAAAAAAGAGTGCTACCCCTGACAGAAATGACGATGAAGGCTCAATAGATGACGATGAAGGCTCAACAGATGACGACATCGTCGACAACACTGGCACGAAAACGTCGGCGGAGGTATTTTGTTTTTTTTGAGGTCGGACATGAAGCAGAGTAATGTGAGATGCAAATTATGTTGAGTACATGTTCTCGCAAAGTAGGGGAATACCTCAAATCTTTTTCATCACCTGAAGCAGAGTACGCACAACGCAAAAGGTTACAAACCCTGAGAGGAGCAAGAAGCCCATGGCGCCTGTGCAGCCGAAACAGATGATTCAGCCTGCTTTTTTTAGCGCAACACCTCACGACAAAACGTTGAAGAGACACAAAGACCTCACAGATGCAGCAGCTAATTGTACTGCAAAAGACATGCTACCAATAAGCACTGTTAAATTTCATTTTTTATATCATGATATATATCGATATCAACTGATACGAAAAAAAATATATCGTTATAAACCTTTTCCCATATTGCCCAGTCTTATTATACAGGCTTGCAAAATACAATGCATTGTTACAGGATAAATCACCCAAAAATGTATAAAGTAATCAATACTGATTCAGATCTGCCTGCAACAAAAAGCTGCTTACACAGCAAAAGTAATCCAAGGATATTTTGAAGAATAAATAACTCCAGAAAGGAGGAGTTTTGCTGCGTAATGAGAAATACTGTTTTTTAGATTTAGGATATGGGTTTCCTTCCACATTTGGTGGTTTTTGAAAGGCCTCTAAAAGGAGATATGAAACTCCATCAAAACCGGAAGTGAGCACATAGTGATTCTCTGAGGTGCAACACCAAGGACTTTGTACAGTTCCTTCTAGCGGGGTATGAACCGGTTTCAGTTCTGATTTTATCATTATTCAGACAATGATAAGTGGTTTTAAAGCTGTCCGGTGTTTCGGGAAAAAAGCTGCAGCCTTCCTTGAAAGGTTAAAGAGTTTGTCAAGTAGTGCAGATGTGAGACTGTTGAATCGGGGCTGATCCGGGTGTTCTCTATCTCACCTGGACTTCTGTATTTGAGAAATATCTTAAATTAGAAAGAACAAACAGAACTTGACACAGCACCTAAAAACTAAATATGTTAGGGAAGATGGTAATAGGTAAAAAAAAAGGCTGCTGTGCTAAAGCAACAAACTCTGGACTTTATAAGGAAAGGTAAATATCTGCAAGAGACAAAAGATGCTGAGAAGATACAAGAGAAGGTGGTTGAATTCCTGCACATGCTCTACCTCTCCACGGTAGAGCATGAGAGCCAATCATCTTCATGCAAACATACAGTCAATCATAGAGACTAATGTCACTACCTGGACCTGGACCCTGTGCTGACACTGCCGCACCAGAGCTGTATAACAAAGTTGACAATAATCTATGAGGCAACTTCTTATACTTTTAAAACACACAGTTGAAGCTCTCATGGTTGACCTACTGTGTGTTATTGCTAAGCTGTACTGCATACATCTTTAAGTACATTTGTTTTCTTTAGTCATGTTTGTAACAGCGCTTTTACCTATGCAAATACAAGCTTCAGATCAGGACTCGGGATCAGGAGATACTCAAAATAAAGGATCTGAATCAGGGGGCGATAAAGCCAATCAGAGTATGGAGCTTGTAAAATGCCAAAAGTCGTCCTTCATGGTTTCCAGAGCCCAGGTTGATGTCTCCTGTTATTAAAGAGATCGATAAACTGATCTGATGTAGAGGAAGCTGGTGCAGTCTAACTGGGAATGAACTCTTTTATATCGGAAAGTCAATTTGGATCAGAGATGGTTTGAACAAATACTTCATTATCTGCTAACAGTTGTGTAACGGGGCGTGATTATCTATTGTGATATCTATTTGCAAACTAAAACGCCTCTCAGGGTCGAAACAGGATTTTTTGGATATTATGGTTAAATACCAGCAAGATAAACACAATGATTTAGGACATGATAAGCAGAGAATGACTTCCCATCTCATGTGTGTTGTCCCGTTTATCTAATCTACAAACTTGGGTGACGGTGTGCGGTATTATTGCACGTCTGTTTATCTATTAAAAGTTAATTACTGGTGTTGCTCTTTTATTAACTGCTTCACCGACTCCATGAGCTGAAGGAGGCAGCGGTCTCATACTTAAGTCTTCTTAAATCTGCAGTTTCCTCATTTCACATCGATCTTTTCGGTGCAGAATTTACATATTGCTTCATCTAAATTAGCAGGTTCTCCTTTTCTTAAACTGAAGACTAAAATGCCCTCAAAGCTGAGATAACATCACTCATGGTAGGAACTCTTACTCAACACTGTGGGGGTTTTTATCGAGAATTTGATCGCGACAACATGGAGCACATCTTCAATACATTTATTTTCAGTTACTATCGATCAGACACAGTTTTATTGGTTTAAAGTAGTTGAAAATAGCCTGTTACACTCACAGTTATATGCATCTGTAATAAGAGTTAACTCTGCAGCTTCCTGCTAACTCAGCTGCTCAGCTGTTTCTCACACCGAAATAAAACAAGGGGAACAGGTCTGCATGAATACCAGCCACACCTGACTGAGTTTCTTCCTTGTCCTTGTCAGACTCTGTGACTCTTTCTATTCTATTTATACTCTTTAAAAACGTCAGTGTACTCCAAACTAGCAAGAGTGGATTTATCCTTGGCTCTTTAAAATCATCATTGTGAATTATTAAGATATTGATCAGTGATATGATTATGATAGTTATATGATAGTTATATTAAGGTTGAAATACTCGGTAGATACAGCCCTGGTTCAAAGTCTGTATTGTTGTTGGTTATTATTCCTACAAAGATTACACACCCTATGTTTAAAGACGGGTTAACCGGTGTTATTACAGATAATCTGCTCAAGAGGGTTGAGACGCATGAGAAGGGCGTGTCCTAGTTTTGTCTACTGACTTTAACCTCAACAGGAAATTTTCTTAATGTTTGTTTCTGTCTTAGTAAAGTTTCTATAGATGTAAAAATGTCAAACACTGTCAGGTTTGTAGGGATTTGCCCGGTTCCGAAATTATAAATCATTGTAAACAGCATTTTAAAGCTCCTGTGGGGAGTTTTTACTGGTTTTTCCCCTCTTTCTGTTTTTCGGACAAATTTTTATTCTGTTTTCATACAGTTTTTTTCGTCTGTTTTTCTGACTATTTTTTTTCCTGACTAAGCGAGATACTTACTCTGAAAAACAGAAAAGAAATTAGTCTGAAAACAGAAGAAAAAAATGTCTGAAAAACAGAAGAGAAAAAAAAAATACTCTGAAAAACAGAAAAGAAATTAGTCTGAAACACAGAGAAGAAAAAAAATTGTCCGAAAAACAGAAAATAAAAATAGTCTGATAAACAGAAAAAAAGTATGAAAAACAGAAAAGAAAAAAAAAATAGTCTGAAAAACAAAATAAAATAAAAATTGTCTGAAAAACAAAAAAGAACAAAAAATTCCAAAAAACAGAAAAGAAAAAAAACGACAAAAACAGAAACTTCCTCACAGGAGCTTTAAGTCATTATTTTTATATTGATTGAGGAATATCGCAATTATCTTAATTTACTTGTATTTTTTAATCTTATATTGTATGGAAGTGTCTTTTATCGCTAAAATGCTACATCGTCTCTCTACAGGCCACTCTTGTGGTTCCTCCACAGTGATGTCTTCCCCGTGGTGGGAGCAGTGGCCCCTGCTGGCCAACAATGAGTCCACTCCCTCTCGTTTCCTGGACAACACCACCTGCTTCGGCCCCACTCAGAGCACTACGGTCAACACTCTCAACTTTGGGGGCGTGCCTGTTGTATTGTTGATCAACTTCTCGGTGTTCCTGGTGCGCGTCTATCCTCTCCCTGTCCTTTTGGTTGTAATGTGATGTTAGACTATCTTTAAAAATGCGTTATTTACTCACTCCACAGTTAAGTGCATTCTGGTTTGATTTCTGCAGGTGCTGCTGATCCTCTTCGCCATCATCAGGAGGAAGTTCTGGGATTATGGGCGCCTGGCGTTAGTCGCAGACCAAGAGGGGTCAGTTCACGATCTCATCATAATTTTAATTTTCTCTCTTTCTGGTCCGTTTGATTTCATCCTCAACACTGTGATTTGTAAACCAGGTTCACTGAGTCCACACACCGCCGATATGGACGCATGTCTTCTGTTTTGTCCAGCGTTGAAGACCCTGAGTATGAATCGGTATGTTTGTCAATGGTTTCAGACATCATGACGTCAACCCTATATATAAACTAATCATACCTTTACATTACAGACTCATTCAGTGTAATAAATGCCTCTCTCTCTCTCTGTGCAGGGATTCTGCTCCTGGTTACCGTACATCCTCAGGATGGAGTGAGTGACTCTGTTGTCGATATTTCTTGCTGTTTTACGTAGACTGACATAAGTTCACGCCTCTTATCATCTGTTTGTGTGTTTCAGCGAGGAAAGAATTAAAGCCAGATGTGGCATGGACGCCGTTCACTACCTGTCCTTCCAGCGTCACCTGATCGGTCTGCTGATTATCATAACTGTCTCCTCACTCGGGATCATACTTCCAGTGAACCTGAGTGGGGACCTGCTGGGTGGGTTTTTACGGCTTTATTGTGATTTTTACATATTAGCGCTCAAAAATCAATCTAAGAGTGTGTGGATTCATGTGACCCAGGTTTGAAGGAGGACTGTTGTTAATGACAAAGTCCTCCACGCCATCAGGACCTTTTACAACCTCTCGTAACAGAAACAGGAGCGGTCTTTTTACACTCTTTTTAGGTCATCCAGCCCATTTAGAGTTTTTATGTACCTGAGCACAAACTGTCTGTGCTGCAGTTATGGGGGGAAATCAGGGCAGATCATTTACTTATAAAGCCAAAGTGAGCCGTCTATAGTCCTCTCAGATTGGTTAAAGATTATCTAGATTATCTTTTCTAAATTTAATCATCAAACAAACAAATTTTAAAGCCTCACTTGTATAAAAAATAACTAAAGGTTGGTTGTGAATGAGGTGTATCATTTCAAGTAACTTGTGCACAAAGTTTGCGATTTAAAAAAAACTTTTTCGAGGTTGTTCTGATATTCTGTCTTCTTCTTCCTGCTGTGTGTTTTCCTTTTAATGAAATGACCTCTGATTACTGCCAGGCAATGATCCGAGGAGTTTTGGAAGGACAACTATTGGGAATCTTCAGGCAGGGTAACGAACGACAGCCACAGCGTGTCAAAATCTATTTGGAAATTTTGTATCCTGGTAAAAAATTTTGTACTTTCTTGATCTCTTGATTCTAGAAATGACTTGTTGTGGCTGCACACAGTGTTTGCAGTCCTGTACCTGGTCCTGACGGTTCTCCTGCTGCGGCATCACACGTCACAAATCAAAGGCATGCGCAGAGAGACAGTGAGTCTCTGAACGCTTCGAGATGAGATGTGTTGTCATTAAGTTTTTTGGCGTGCACATAAATATTTAGTATAAATAAATATATGGAAATAAAAATAACTTTACAAATTTTACATCAAATTGCTACAAAAGAGGATTAGGGCCACATGAAGAGAAAAAAAATAATTACAGGAGGGAGAATTTTTGAATTTCCATTTCAAGATAAAAGTTGAAATTTTAAAAAGTCGAGATGAAAAAACTCCCATTTTGCACGAAGGCGGCAACCTCCTCCAAGTTTCTCTGTTTTTTTTCTTCTGTAGAGTTGTGATCTTCGGCACAGCCTTTTCAAAGTCCGAATACTTATGACCACACTGTGTTTGTGTTCTAAAAGGGCGAGGATTTCCAATTCTAGAGGATGGCTTTATAAACTCTTCTACAGAGGACATGTTGTCGAGCGACAGTGCTGTTGATTCATTATCATTAATCTCAACATTATGACTTTATTCATGAAATTTTGTCTTTATTTGCATCGACTTAAATCTAGTACTTTTGATTTAAATCTCGAGATTCCAACTTTAATCTCAAAATTGTAATTTTTTTCATCTCAAAATTTTGACATTTTTCTCAACATTATCTCGAAATTTCAAGATCATCTCGAAATTCCAACTTGAATCTCGAAATTCGATTTTAATACATGAAATTTCGTCCTTATTTGCATCAACCTTAATCTTGACATTCCAACATAAATCTCAAAATTTTTATATTTTTTAAAGTCAGAATTGTCACAATATTCTAGAAAATATCTCGAAATTTTGAGCTTAATCTTAAAATTTCAACTTAAATCTTGAATTTCCGTTGTAATTCATGAAATTTCATCTTCATTTGCATCAACTTTAATTTTAAAATTCAAATTTTTTAAATCTTAAACTGCTGACATTTTTCTCAACATTTTGTAATCTCGTAATTTCGATTGAAGTCTCCCTCCTGTAATCATTTTTTTTTTCTCTTAATGTGACCCTAATCCTCTTTCGTAGATTGCACTGCTTTTTGAATAACTCTGCACACACTGAAATCCTGGAGAGATGTTAAACTTTCCAGACTAACATGTCACTGTTTGTGTTTTTTCTTGTTTGTTTGCAGGCCAGAAACACTTTGTTTTTGTGTTCAGTCCCTAAAACGGCAACAGAGGACGCTCTTAAAAACCACTTTGCGTGAGTCGATTATCCTCTTATTATCACTATTATAAAGTGTAATTTTTAGATTTAAATTTAGGGTTTTATGTTCTTATTTCGACCTGCCTGTTTTTGTCGTGGAGCACTCTGGACTGCACACACGTTTAAAAGTTGATGTATTAATAACAGTAAAGTAAAAGTTGCTCCTGTCTTTTCGTAGAGAGGCGTATCCTTCCTGTCGAGTGTGTGCTGTGACTCTGGGCTACGATGTGGCCAAGCTCATGTACCTCGATAAAGAGAGGTAGGAAATCTAATACAGCTATGACTGCAGTTTGATGATGCTTCTGTAGCGTTGAGTATTAGTCGGGATGAATAAAAGGATAATCCGTTTTAAAAGAACTTGTATTCATTTTCTTTTTTTTTTTTAACTCGAGGATACGAGCCGGAAAAAACCTGCGCTTCTACGAGCGAGTCTTAGAGAGTACAGGAAAACGTGAGCTGATTAACCCTCGCCTGTGTGGACACCTCTGCTGCTGCGCCGCGTCTCAGAAGGTGAGACAAACCACGTGATAAAAAGACGGTTAAGTCGTTATTGTTGGACGTCTTATCTATGAGCTGCAGTCTCAGAAATGGTTTGTTATGACTGCAGAGCTCTGTGTAATAAAGGGAAGTAAAGACGCATTAGACCCTGTCTCTGTGTGTGATTCTGCAGGTGGATGCCATCGAGTTTTACAGAACCAAAGAAAAAGACCTGCTGGAGGAAGTGAGACAGCAGGTAGAAGTGGTGCCAGAGCGCCCCCTGGGGATGGCCTTTGTCACCCTGCAGACAGAGGCTATGGCCAAGTTGTAAGTCTCTGTTAAAGGGTGTTTTTCTGTCTCAATGCGGCAGTGTCTCCATGATTAGTCGACCTGCCTTCTGCAGCAGAGTATCCTCACATAACAACCCTTATGTCAGCTGACTGCGCTTGTTCCTCTGATCAGGACAGTGATCTCAGTTTTATTGTCACCATATGACTCTTTACGGGAAGCAGGCCTGCGGGCAGCCGTTGTAGCAGAGTGTTGGTTAATGTGTATCACTAACAGCTGCCTTTTACCCACCTCAGCATTCTCAAAGACTTCAACGCGCTCGAGTGTGGCGGCACAAGCTGCTGCGGGAGGGCCCGCCAACCGTCGTCCAATCACGAAACCCTGAAAGTGAACAAGTGGTGGGTCAACTTTGCTCCACATCCCAAAAACGTCTTCTGGTAAGACCTGAAAACACCGTCACTTCACACTGTGTGAGCTCCATGCAGATCACAAGACTGAGGTTTGATTCATCTGGTGCCATCTGGACTGGGATGTAATTTAACTAGATCATGAGTCATGTGTCTGTACTGTTTTACAATATTCAGAGGCACAAATGAATGATTCAAATTAAGCTTTTAAGACAGTAATTGGTATTTCCTTTACATGTGATCTGACAGGAGTTCTTAGTTGTACTTTGAATCCCATTAAAACTGAATCCTGTGTTTGATAAAGGGGTGTGTCCAGACTGAGACTTATGCAAAGGTTGGATGAAGTAAATGTGCACACACATGCACAAAACTACCCTCTACTAATCACATAACACACTTCTTTTAATTTAGGCAGCTCTTATCGACTTCCCTGCAACAGGATGACTGCAGGTGTCCAACAAACGTAGAGATATTTTAGAGTTCATTTTAAGATTCTTTTATTTGTTTTTAAATCTTTAAATGGTCTGGCTCCATCATACCTCTCTGAGCTTCTCCACCCCTACACCCCAGCTCGGTGCCTCAGGTCAGCTGATCAGCTGCTCCTGGAGGTACCGAGGTCCAAACGGAAGCTCAGAGGGGATAGATCTTTTTCTGTTGCTGCCCCAATTTTATGGAACGAGCTACCCCTCCAAATTAGACAAGCCCCCACACTGTCCATTTTTAAAACTCGTCTTAAAACCCATTTTTATTCATTGGCTTTTAACCCTGCATGAGACTCGGCTCCTGTTTTAGTGTTCTATGGTTTGTTTTTAGTTATTTGTTTCTATGTTTTTAAATTAGTTTTTAAAAACATTGAAGCTATATTTTATTATTAATTCTGCTTTTATTTTATCCATTGTTTTAATTGTTTCTTGATTGTTTTTTATCTTGTTGTTTTTGTCCTGTTATGTACAGCACTTTGTACAGCTGTGGTTGTTTTAAAGTGCTCTACAAATAAAGTTGAGTTGAGTTGAGTTGAGATATCTGAGGTTGTTATGGATTAGTGTTGGGCGGTATGAACAAAATCTTCTATCACGGTATGAGGAGTTTCATATCATGGTAACAGTATATATCACGGTATGTTTTTTCCCCTGTAAATTCAAATAATGGCCTAAAAATAACCATACTGTCACATTTCTTCATTTTCCTTTTATTTTTAAACTCAGATTTGTAAACGGATGCGAACAAAATATCAGACCAGTCTGGAGATTTTTTATCATATGTCGTACCTTTAGAGAAAGAGTCTGCCAAGCTCTTTTGTATGAGAGGAGCTTCTGCAGTTTTAGTTTTTGGTGATAGAGTTTGATTGAGTTTGGCGTGTTTCATCTTTTAATGGTGGAAGAGGTTTCTGGTGTTTCCATCTCCAGCAACGACAGCTTTTATACCGTCACATGTATCGTCATACCGCCCGACACTATTGTGGATATTTATATCTTTTTCTTCCTGTTGCACTGCTGTGGGCTGGAAGAACAGCATCTTGTCTTTCTTTACATCTGTCAACACATTAAAACTCACTAAAGTTGGATTCAAGTCTGAGTCCTGGACTCAAGTACTACAAAAACTGTCTCCAGTATTAAACTTTCTGGGCAGGAGTCTCCCTGCAGTTTCTTTTTACAGCCTGATTCTTCTCCTGTGAAACAGATGTGTAAAGGTTTTTCTGTGATTTATAAAACCGCAGACAGCTTCTTCTGCACAGCCTGTTGCAACACAGTTTAAATATTTATTGCTGATTAAGAGTCGACTCCCCTCTCTGACAAGGAAACTAATCACAGTTTAGGGTTTGGGAGGGCCGATCTGATTTTAAGGGGAGCTCGTATCACCCCCACCCCTCCTCTCCTGCTGCACCCCGGTCATCTCCTCATCAAACACTCTGAACATCTTCTCCCTCCTGCAGGGACAATCTCTCAGTGCGAGGTTTCCACTGGTACCTTCGCTATGTGATGCTCAACTTCTTCCTCTTCTTCCTGCTCACCTTCCTCACCACTCCCTCCATCATCATCAGCACGATGGACAAGTTCAACGTGACGCGACCCATCTACTATCTCAATGTAAGTCTCCCACATGCACACGCAGCGTGATGATTCTGTCGGAGCTGAATTTTTGTTTTTGTTTTCCTCCAGAGCCCGATCGTCACTCAGTTCTTCCCCACTCTCCTGCTGTGGTCTTTCTCTGCGCTGCTGCCCACTATTGTCTACTACTCCACGCTGGGAGAGGCACACTGGAGCAGGTAAACCCACTCTCAGTGGAGTTCAGTGATTGGGCTCCGTTTGCACAGAAAAATGTTTTGATTTAGTGTCATCTGTGTCTCAGGTCGAGTGAGCAGCTAAGCATGATGCGTAAGCTGTACTTCTTCCTGCTCTTCATGGTTCTGATCCTGCCCTCATTAGGACTCACGAGGTAAACAAGAGTCTGTCTGATGTGGAGAAATAAGAGGAAGAGTTTGAACGCCGAGTTCAGAGGGATAACACGTGTTTCTGTGTCTCTCTCTCAGTCTTGCAGTGTTTTTCCGCTGGCTGTTTGATAAAGAGTTTCTCTCAGGTGGGAAACTCCGGTTCGAGTAAGTGATCCAGTTTCTACTTTTATTACTTTTACTCTGAGCTGTTTTTCAGTTTTACTCCCTTTAAATCTGTGTCTTTATACCTCTGCTGCTTTTACACATTCATCCTCTAACCTTTCACTCCCCTCTCCAAGGTGTGTTTTCTTACCTGACCAAGGAGCGTTTTTCGTCAACTACGTGATCGCGGCGGCCTTGGTGGGCTCTGGGATGGAGTTGCTGCGGCTGCCGGGGTTACTTCTTTACATCATCCGTATGGCTTTTGCTCGCTCTGCAGCTGAAAGGAAATACGTCAAACAGGTTCGTCAGAGTGTTGAACATGATTCCCTTAACTCATTCAGTGCCATGACAGATGTTTCAGTTTTTTTGTTTCCCACCAGAGGGCGCTCCTCCCCAACATGCGACTAAGTTTGGGGTCGTTCTTAATGCAGAAAAGCTGATGAATATAACATAACCATGTTACAATAAAAAAAAACAAGTACTCGCCAGTGAGAAGTGTGCCATTTAGCCTAGTTGTGGAGAGTCGGAAAATGCCGAAGTTATTAGCTAAGAGCAAACGATCTCGGCGCATCGGCTCCCGTGTACATGGTGCTACCGTCTCTGAATCCAGTGGAGCTCCTGGTACTGGACCTTCACATTATCAGCAGACAATCAAAGAAACAATTTTCCTGGCGTGTCGTTGCGCCGCTGGTGCTAGGAAGCGAGACTGAGCCAGAATTCAGCAGCAGTCCCGGCGAGGAGGATACAAACAGTCTGTGTGGTTTACGTCGTGAGAGCCAGGTTCTTGAGAGCCAATACGACTCCCAGGTGGCACTGAATGAGTTAGTTTACAGTTACTAAAGACACCAAAAAATACCTGATCTGGTTTCCTCCCCATTGCCTCACTTCAACTTTTAGATTAGTCTATTAATTAAGTGCCAAATCACAACGAATGTTATCTCAAGAAGCTTTCAAAGAAGAGCTGGACCAGACTAAACTCTTCATGATATTTACAAAGACAAAATGTAAAAATGGGATCCAATCGAACCCCATCCTACAAGATCAGACCAACTCCCATCTCCTAATCTTCAACTACAGGAGTGAAACACTTCACAGCACTTAGAGAGTTACAGTGGAGAGGAAGAACTTTCTTTAACAGGCAGAAACCTCGAGCAGAACCAGACTGATGATAGACAGTCATCTGCTGAGACTGAGAAAGGGAGATAGAGATGTTAGTTTATGGTGTTGGAAATAGTGGATTAAGTTTGTGTATAATTTCCAGGAGCTGAATGATAACATAACAGACTGATCTTAGTTTGATTTAAGGAAAATCAAAGTTTATCTATTCTTTCTGTTTGCAGAATCAGGCGTACGAGTTCGAGTACGGTTGCATGTACGGCTGGAGCTTGTGTGTGTTCACGGTCATCATGGCGTACAGCATCACATGTCCCATCATCGTGCCTTTTGGTGAGTACTTATCAGAGCAGCGTACATCAGCAGACACGGACACAGTGGGATTATAACTCAATAAAACTGTAAACTCCGTGTGTCTGAAGGTCTCCTCTACATGATGCTGAAACACCTGGTGGACAAACACAACATGTACTTCGCCTACCTGCCCGCTCGCCTCGATCGTCAGGTCCACCTGGCGGCTGTCAATCAAGCTCTGGCCGCGCCCATCATCTGTCTGATCTGGCTTTACTTCTTCTCCGTCCTCAGATTAGGTCAGACTCTAACACAGAGGACATATACATCATATAAACATCGTCATACAAACATCGTCATTTAAATAATCTGTGTTTTCAGGTTTCTGGGCGTCCACATCTTTGTTCACATTAGTGATTCTCTTCATTACCGTCTTCATCTGCGTCGGCTACACCTGCTTCGGCCATTTCAAGTACCTCAGTCCTCACAACTACGAGGTGAGCACGGGTTCGAACATTTGAGCGCCCCCTCTCTGTCAGCCTTCACATTTATTTGATGACTGTGTTGTTTTGCAGGTAAAAGAGGAGGATGAGGATACAGCAGAGGGAGCGGAGGAAAACACCACGGTACTGAGCTCCTTCAGATCAATATCGGTATTGGCCGATACTGGAGGCTACAATATCTGTATTCTGAAGTAAAAAAATACATATGTATCGGGACACCCCAAATTAAAAACAAAGTTTCATCTTTTTTTTTGTGGTTTGATTTCAGGTCTACCTCCCACGAGTTCTTAATCCCAAATCACCTGCCAGCAACTCCCAGGAGACGAAACCTGACAAAGGTTACGGCTCTACAGAAGGAAGTCCAACTCTCAGGTCCAGCCCGGTTCAGGGCAGCACAACAGAAGCTTGAAAACCCTTTTATCCAACATGGAATCAAAGCCTTCGGAGTTTGATCTTACCTCAGCCTGTCCTGATATCCTGAAAAATCTCTTGACAGTACTAGAGGGGAACAAACTTTCATTATTGACGACCATGAGCTGAGTAAAATATCGTTTTAATCACTTTTTGCACTCGATCAGCAAAGCGAGCGTGTTCATTTGCAGCTGCTTTGCCGTCTTCTGTCTATTGTATTATTTTTTAATGTGACCTCTCTCGGTTAAGTTTTCTTCCAAATGTTCCAAGTCTCATTCTTGATTTGTTTGTTTGCACATGCCAAAGCTAATTATTCAAGTATTAGCAGAACAAGATAATCAGACCTGTAAAGCTGCTGCTGCTGATGGAGTGGACAGTTATCAACAAACGCCAAGGGAATAACTTATTGCCTAATGTTAGTGAGAAGAGAGAGAGGAGGAGAGGAGCTTCCTGTTTACCAACTAAAGTTTACCGACTTGACATCCGTAGTTACAACAACAGAGAACAAGATCCAATAAATGATGGTCAGAGGAGCCATAATTTTCACACATGCACAAATGAGATAATGAAGCCATGTTTTAGCAGGTCGTTGTGTTATTATTATTATCATTATTGTTTGTATTTATGTACCGGTACACTGGAGTTCTGCTTTTATAACGTGCCTTAACTAACTGCAGATGTGTAACTGTACAGTGGTTAACTGAATTTGTCAAGTGGGACTCAACCTGAGCTTTGTATGTGGTGGTATGAATGTCAATATTAACAGTGGAAAAATACTGTCATGTGTGCGTGTGGTCACTGGGGGGCACTGTTGAGCTGCAGACGGGTTTGAAACTCTCACTCTGTAGTGAAAGAAGACAGATTCACAATGTTGCAGTGAGGATTTCTAACTTATCCTGACGTCGGTATGAGACAGTTTTCCTGTAGCTCCGCCCCCTCTCCTGATCTTTCACTTTTATCTCCCCTTTTTTGTCCTCTGCGGTGTAACAAACTCTGGCAGTTTCGGTTTGAAGTGTTAGTTTTCATCACAAGAAAATTAACAACAATAACATTGAAGAGTTTTTACAGTAAATGTATCTGACATAATTAGAAACAGACCGGCTCCATATAAATATAAAAACAGGAAACTGTGGTCACTCTAAGGCCGTGGGGAAATTTATAACAATCATAACCAATATGTCATGATTGAATAAAAACAGACCGTAAAGGGATATTCTGGTGTAAAATTAAATTAGGATCAAACACACCGAGTTAGACACCCCCTCCAGAGATGAATGTTGCCGACCGCTTGCTTCACTAGTTAACCAACTTTAGTAACAACCGCACAAAAGCAATACAGAGAGCCATGCGCTCAACCAATAAGCCACAAATAATGCTCAGAACAGCAACTAACTTCATCAACAGGACATATAGGGTCCTAGCCATAGAACTGGCCATCAAACATCTTTTTAACTTTGACTAATTTCTTTAGCAAAGAGACTAAACACAACTCACCGACTCTCTTCCAGCAGCTGCTTGTTTGTAGAGAGACCTCAGGCCAGTCCATAACGAACTACAGCAGGGTGACGCAGCTCAAGGAAGAACATTTATGATCATTTCTTCATGGAAATACAATCAGACCGAGACGCTAAGGCAGAAGAACTACAGCGTCTGCAGTGCAAAATGATTAATATGGCGATTATTACTTCAAGGAAATGACGATACTTGAAGCACCACTGTAGGGTGTTCAGATGAGTGATGGCATCCTTTGGGTCACCGGGTGAACGCCCTCTGTCTTTACATTAAGACATTCAGAAAGTCGCTTTCTCTCTTTCAAAAGTCGTTATATCACATACCATCTGACATGATTGTTTCTCAGCCGTGACGCTCTGCTGCACGTGCTGCAAATGACTAAAAGTACCGTAAATGATGACGCCAGAGCGTGTCCCGCTGGACAAACTCTTATTGAATCAACCCGAGCGCTGTTTCCTGCTCTATAAAAATACAGCAGCCTGTTTGCAGAGACTAATATCTCTACGAGGGGTCGATATCTGCCACATCGTGCAAGTCACATAGAGTTCAAACACAACAAGAGTTACTGGCCGAGCTTCAGCCCTCAAGTCTGATACTAATTTGTCATCACTAAACGAGTTAACTTGTTTTCTCTGTCAGGATTGTTTCACTGTGCGTGAGGCCGAGAAGAGACGCTGTCCTTAAAGGTATCTTGTCCTCGGTTTTCTTGAAAGTGATATCAAAACCGCAGAGTATCCTGGTCCTGACAGAAACCTCACAAACAGACGCTGCATGACTCCCATTCAACGACTCGGAGACAAATCTAAACAGACATACCTCACTAAAGTCACATGAAAAAGCTGCACGGGGTCAGGATGCGGGGGCACTAATAACTTGCAGATATTCCCGTGTGGCGCCGAGGATGAGCTGGGAAAAAGATGAGTATTTAACATTAGACACCTGATATTATTCATATGTTCTGTGTGTTTTCAATGTGTGTCTGATTCACTTGCTGCTCGGGAAGAGAGTCCTCTGTGGGTTCAGCAGAGCAGGAGGGATGTGGATGTTCGGGGTGCAGCAGCCTGGGAAGAGACTCGGTCCAGCAGCGACTGCCAGAACAACATTACACAGCTCCAAAACCACATGCAAAACCCTGACCCTGGACTGAACACACCACAGATTCACTGGCTCGGTTTTTTTGGTCCGAGTATGTTCTGTTGCTGGGTGTGTGGAAGATTGATCTGAAGTTTAACTCGATTACAAGAATACTGGGAGCGGTCTGGTGCAGCTCTGGTCCAAATAGGTCACTCATATTTCAGACTTTTTTTGCACACTCATGGATAAAGAGGGGAAGGCTGAAGATTTCTGACTGTTCATACATCATGATTTTGAGATTTTATTGATTACTTTCGAGGCTCTTAAGGGACATTTCAGAACTTTTACTACCTTAAGAGCCAACTGGCAGCCTCAGATCCTCTGGCGAAGGCCTCGTGGTCGTTCCAAAGTGGAGACTCAAAACTAAAGGCGATAGAACTTTCTCCATCTTGACTTTGGAACAACCTGCCGTGTCTCTGCACACACACGCATCAAAATCCAAAAAACTGCTGTTTTTCAATGGAATTTTTTCAATCTAACTTTTTTAATTGGGCATTACACAAAAAATAATAATGCATCAAGCCAATGTTTTTGCTGATTATTGACATACCATAGGCTGCCATATAAAAAAAGGAAATTCCTGCCCAGCATTAAATATCTAGAAAATAACTCCAAATTACTTTTTTGTAATTGAAAATAACAGTGACATCATTTAGTCAAACTGGCATTTACAGGGTTAAAATTCTGAAAATGAATTATTATTTGGTGGTTATGGTTAGGACTGAAGTTGATCGAAAGATTTAAGAAAAAAAAAGTGGAAAAAAATATTCATGTATAGTACTTTTACAGCAATTCTAGGAGGTGGACATTTTTGTTCATCCAAGGACCGAGACGTAACTTTTTTAGAAATTGAACAATAAATAAAACATTATAGTGCATCTAAACGAATGTTGTTAATTATTGTCACATCATAGACCTTAATAAAAAACAGAGAAATTCCTGCCCAGCAACTAATATATGGAAAATAACTCCAAATTCCTTTTTCCCATTAAAAATAACTGTGACGTTTAAAGGGTTAAAAATCTGAAAATGAATTAATATTTGAAAGATTTGATCAGGATTAAAGTTGATTAAAAGATTTAAGCAAAAAAAATTGGAAAAAATTTTAATGTATAATATTTTTATAACACTTTTACATGTAGTTATTGTCAGACTGGTTTGTGCTCAAGTCCTCTTTTTTCTGTGCAGCTCCATTTTTAAAAGTTATTAGGGGGTTCATGTTTTCTGTGATTGACACTTGATACAGCCTATGGGCGTACGAAGATTGCGTAGCTCACCCGGGGGATACCCTGTTTGAGCCGAGTGTCATCACAGCGACTCTCGGCAACTCTTTCTCCGAATGCATACAACGCTACAGTGCAATGTTTGTTTCAGGAAGTGGAAAAACGCAGAATTACCGAGAGCTTTTCAGCTTCAAATCCGTATACTGGTGGAAGGCGGAACCAAGTTGTCCATAGTATAAACAGTCTGTGTGAAAACTGCACTAAAAAGATGGATGACATAGTAGCCCCTCACACAGTGAAGTCTAAACATTTGGAGATCTCCTCACCGGCTGCAGAGAAGGTCGTAAACTCCACCACCTCCATGCCAAACTATGACAACAAAACATGGTTTCTATCAGTACCTCTCATCACTTCCAGCGAGGATTAGGCCCTCTAAAAAAAAAATCTGCATCAAATTAAATCAATTTGATTTCTGCCAAAGTCATAAGTCACAAATTACATGGGGTGGTTTAGATCCTATTGTTTATCAGAAGGTTACCTGAGGTCAGATCAAACAGCAACAGATTTATCCGACGAGGTTTTTACGACTCAAAACAGCCCGCCTCACCGCGGATCAAAATATTTATCCTGCGTTAATCCGAACCCTCTGCGACTGCTGTAGAGTGTAGGTGTGCAGCCCACTGAACTCAGTGCCCTCTTTGCATTCTTGGTATTGTTACCGTCTGTGCTTTTGTATACCACAGACACTATTATTTAGTCACTTCACTCCCACTCTCTGCTCTCCTTAAGACAGAGCTGCAGTGTGTGTGTGTGTGTGTGTGTGTGTGTATGTGTGTATCAAACAGGAATTAAACCCATTTGGAGGTAGGTTTTGAGGTCAGGTTTCCTTCATGTCACCACCAAGATCGATGGATATGACCTCTGGCTGCTCCAATTTGTATATAAACACACCACCCGGCCAATCACAGCATCGCGTGGGATGCTGCCAACCAATGGGAGCATCTGGCAGCATCATGCTCTGTGGCACTCCCATCTTTTGTCCGTCAGGATTAGTGCCGTGGCAACGCTGGTCGCCTGGGAGGTGAGTTTCCCAGAGCAGCGGGACCAGGACAGAAACAGACCGCTTCATTCCAAGTATTACTTCCTTCCCGGGGCCAACTGGGAAACAGAAGTGGAGTGGTGTGTGTGTGTGGATGTGTGTGCATGGATGTGTGTGTGTGTGGCTTCCAGCTCCAAAACTTCCACCTAGACTGCCAACTCTAATGAGGTGCCATCCTGAGCCACAAGCTCAAAGTGTGTTTGTCTGTGCAGAGTGAGTGGGTGGGTTGGTGAGGGGCCGTCCTTATGTGCTCTCTTCTGTGTGGGGTACTCTGTAGAGAAGTCACCCCACTCTCCTTCTCCTTTCTGTTGGTGGACTACATTAGCCAGGAGGGCGGAGGGCCAGACAGCTGAAATCACCGCCGCTGATGGAGCATGTGACTGCAGACCGAGGCGCTTTTGTTTGGACACTTACAGCCAACACACGGAGTCACACAATCGCAGTGTGGCATGGGAATAGCAGGCGAGCGTGGAAATGAAACCTGCTTGTGTGTCTGTCTGGTTCTTATTTCGTTCGATTATCTGCCTCCAGTTGGTTCTCAGAGTTACATCCCATATGGCTTCAATGACGTCTAACCCACTTTCCTGAACTATTTATGCTTCTATTTTCACTTCTGTCATTGTTTACACCCCGTTTTTGGCTCTCCTTAGGCCCAACAACCCCACAGTGGTTTTCAAAAAATCCTCTGCTCTGCTCCAAGAGACTTTATCTGAAATAGAAAGTTCACCACATTTCCTATTTGCAGCTGCCTGACGTGAGATTTGTTGGATTTGCATCAGCAGTAACATAAAACAGCATGGGGCCGGTGGAAGAATATTAAAGAGTTAGGGTTTATATCAATGAAATAAATTACAAGCAGACACACTCATACCTCGTTTCTTACAAACCGCCTGTGCATGTGAGGATGATTTGAATGACCAAATCAGAAAAAATGCATGATATAAAGAGGTATTAGCGTGTAAAATGGCACGTACTTCAATTTGGGTTTTGCAATATTCAATTCCCTGTAAAGAAACTCCTCACGTGTTCAGTTTTTAGAGGAATTAGGATGGAATAAATTCCAAAAGCGAGGCGAGTTATCAAGATTAGGCTGTCAAAAGTCTGAGTGTAACCGGTGCCAACTTTACGTTGCTTTTAAAGGCGTATTCTGCTGGATCTGAGCCAGAGACAATCAAACAACCTGATAGCGATTATTTAGGTTTCTGTAAACAGGAGTTTCCTCATTTGCTGCTGAGAGCAACTAGTGATTTAGTGGTCTGGTGTCATGTAAACAGAGGACCACTGGGTCAGGCTGTTACGTCAGCACCAAGAGCAAACTAGATACGTTTGGCGTGACTTATACAAGTGGCCAAAATGGGCCGAAAACAGCAGAATAACTCTTTAACTGTGCGTCTGAGAAAAAAGTCCAAGTGCGTAAAATCAAAGATCTCACTAAGATACACGTGCCTGTAAAATTTTGGGCAGATCGGAAAAAGTCAACGTTTGTGGAGCTCCGTAGGGGGCGCTAGCGAGCCACTTTCTGTCGCTTTTTTTTGGGGGGGTAACTTTAAAATATTGCAATTTTCGCCGGGCCCGACCTGCCTGCAGATTTTGGTGAGTTTTCAAGGCTGTTCAGGGGGTCAAATTTGCATTTTTGGAGGCCATCATAGGTCATAAAATAAAAATAATAATAATAATAATAATAAAAACTATAATAATAACAATAATAATAGAGAAATTGCTGCTCTCTCGGCTCAGGCCCTAATGATAAAACAATTTACATCAACAAGAAAACTATACGGTTAAGGGAGCGCCAGTCTTAATAGAATAAACGTACAAAAAAAAGTCTCTTTGTTGGGATCAGATATGATTGAAATTTGTGAATGAAAGGAGCTTTTTGCAGCTATAAAGGAAAATGAACAAAACACTGGCACAGTATGAAACAAGGTTTGAGTGGAATTACAAAGTCAGTCAGCACTCAAAGAAAAACGGATTTTGGCAAAAAAAAAAAAAACCTCAATGAAAGACTAAAAGTCAAAGTTTGGCGTCGCTTTCCACCAACACCTGACCACCAGGCCTAAACCCTCCAAAATATCACAAATGGATTAAACCAATCACATCGCAGTTCAGACAGAGGCGCTCCACGATTTTAGCTACAGACAAAACTCAAATGCACACTGTGCCTATTCTTCTCTTTTTTTTCCAGCTCTAAATCCTATTCATGAAATCTCAGTAAGCTTGAAAGAAGACTGCATTACGTATGCTTTGAGCCCACGTCACGAACTGGTAAGTAACTCTGAATTATGGACACGAACAGGACTTAACAGACTTAGCACTACAGCATTTCATCTCTTACTGAGTAGGTTTTAAGCTGCTGACGCTAACACCAACACTCTGTTATACCGACTATTCCCTCACAAAAGCACCAAAAACAACAACTGTACGTCTGCAGGACAAAGTAGCTCCTTTGCACCATGTACGGCTATTTCCATGTGCAATGCAGTTGTATTAAGAGGGATCTGAACATGCATCCTGCTGTTTGAAATGCTTAATCAGTACAGGTTTCCAGAATCTCTCTCTCTATCTCTCTCTCCTGCTTGAAGCCTGCATACAGAGCTCACCATCAACAATCTGGAAATCCCAACTCGAGCTTATAAATGTGACTTTCTGGCTTTGAGCAAAAGAAAAGCTTCAAGATTTACAGTAATTAGTCCAATAATTGTAGTCGGCTTAGAAAAATTTGGTTGCGTGGCTTTGCTTCCCTTATGAACTGCATGCAATGTTCTCGAAATATTAGTGTTGGAAACTATAACTCAAACAATTAATTAAAAAGTAAAAACCTGTCTTTATCATTGTTTCTAGTGGTCTCCTATGGTCAACGCACCCCATACAAGGGGTAAGTTGACCATGCCCTCCCTCACCTTCTCTCTCCCTAAATAACAGTTACTTCTTAACATTCATGAGTATTTTATTGACAATACTTTTTTCATTATTAACTGCTAAAAAGTCATCATAGCCCAGAACAACTATGATGACTTTACTAGTCCTCTAAGCTAATGTTAGGTTTTTGACCTCATGTTGTAGCTCACAGATACCACAATTGATGTATAAAACTAATTTAAAATGATACTTTTTTGGTCTGAACACAATTCTTATCAAACTTATGACAGACTAAATTCACTTTCAAGAGTGGAAAATGTTTTTTTTTAAATAAATGTCTAACTCCTTCACCCATGTGCTTCTAACCTTCACAGACTCCATGAATTAACGCCCATCTCCTAAATATTTGGTCACATGATCAATTTCTTAAACCATTTCCAAGAAACAGGGAGTGGATCAACTTACCGTTTGGCTTACCTCACCCCTATATCATAACATATCACTGAATTCTTGTGTTTCAAATGCTTTTTTACCTTTTAATCAGGAGGGCGTTTCCATAATCTCTGAAGGATAGTAATGACGCCTGTTTACCACTTTAAAGCAAAAGTAGTGTCTTAAACTGCTGAGAATTACAGGACTTAAAAAGAAATAAACGTCGAATAACCAACATTTCCACCTGTATTTAAACCATCTTTATACTGGTATTTGACATTTTAAAATGGCGGCCTCATTCTTCGACAGTTACGATGAGCTCTACGGAGTCTAACTGAAGCGTCATGACGTCAGACCTGGCTCGTGAGTGGACTAAAATGCGTCGTTCCTAAAATGAGTCTATTTATTTATCTATTTATTTGTGTATTCGTGTGTTAAGAGATGTTAAAAACACGCTCATAGTTTAACAAGCTCATTTTGTTTTATTTTTTAAAGAAAGTAAAACTCCGGAAGAGTTGCTATGACAACCCAAGCACAAGAGTTGACTGCCATAGCAACCAAACTAGCGTTTGAAACTTAGCCGTTTTGTTAACTAGCCATTAGACGTACAACAGTAGATAACGTTGCGGTTCTTTAAATTTAAGTTATAAAGTCGTTTTTTTTACATATATAATGGAGTCAAACTCGTTATTTTATTCGCTAGAGTTCGTTGCAGGAAGTGGAGATACTCTAAATATCGAGCAGAGAACCGCTTTACAAACTTCCTTCGTGATAATGAAGAAAAACTACAAATTTAACCGAGTTTTGTTTTGGGGTAAAATCCGGTGTTTAAACGGGGATTATTTTATCGCTCAGGGGAGAGGAGAAGATGAAATGAAGGACAAAATGAACCTCTACAGGTATGATATACAGCTTTACAGATGCTGTCATCTCTTGTTAAACTGTGAAAAATACCTTTAAGTGTCTTTTTTTGGTCCTCAGCTTCAACTGCATGGACTGGTTCCTGCTCCCTCCTGCCACAGACTCCATGATGGAGGAGGTGTCCAGAGCTGCAGGAGGTTTCTTCACAGGAGACCCTTCATTTGTGTACGAACATGTTGAGATCAGACAGCGTGCAGATGGGGATGAAGAGGAGGAGGTGGTGGTAAGGAGGAAAAGTTCAGCCTTTACCTGAACATGAACAAACATACACCCTGAGTGTGTCGTCTAAAATCATCTCAGGTCAAAAAATTTGAATATCATTAAAAAGTTTATTTATTTCCATAATTCCGCTCAAAAAGTTAAACTTTCATAGATTATAGATTCATGGCCCACAAATTTAAGTATTTATTTGTTTATCCCTCCTCCTGTGTTAGGGTCTGCACGGACCTGTTTTTGAATTTAAATGCTTAAAAGAACCACTTAAATTAGCTTTAACTTTGTCAGGATCCTCTATTTCAACAAAATAAAAAAATAAAAATTAAATTGACTAAATTGTAAAATGCTCACCACACTAGTGTTGTGTCGTTCGCGAACGATTCGCCCATACCGCCAAAAGCACCAAAACCTGGTTTGATATCCACGCCATCGCCATGCTTAACTGGCCAGCCAACTTGCCAAACCTAAACCCCGTTAAGAATCGATGGGGTATTATCAAGAGGAACACCAGAATCCAGAAAGAGTGGAACGAGGCGGGAGTCACAGTTTCAAAAAACCAGTAAAGTGTGAATGAGGGACACCAAACCTAAAAACAAAGAAGAGCTGACAGCAGATATCGAGGAAATCTGAGCTTCCATAACTTCCAGGCAATGCCACGGCGCGTTGAGGCAGTGATTACGGCGAAGGGATTCCCAATAAAGTATTGAAGATGGACATATTGTTTTGAAAGTACCATATCCTGGTTGATTTGATGTGATCCTAATTTCTTTACTGAGAAGTAAATGGTGATTTCGACAGTATTCAAATTTTTTGAATTCCTGTTTTCGTGGGTTTGATGAGCTGGAATCATGTAAAAACAAACAAATAAATACTTGAAATCTTTTAAATTGTGGGCCCTGAATCTATAATCTATGAAAGTTTAACTTTTTGAGTGGAATTATGGAAATAAATAAACTTTTTCATGATATTCTAATTTTTTGGAAAGGGTCTGTAAGTGTTCAAATGATAGCTGAGGTTCGACAGTCCTCTCATAGTCATGAAACTGCTGCTAATACTGGACTGTCCTGGTCTGCAGACTAAAGTCAAAGAGGAGAGCAGGCTCGCCGTCACCGTTCACCAAATCGACGAAGAGGTGTCTGTGGTACCTCGCGGCGCCTTCGTCAGGAGCCTTCACGGCCTCGTCCAAGTCAACCGCAGCTTCGGAGGTAAACACAGCAGACGGTTAAACCACATACAGAATTCATGTTGTGATCAGGTCTGAGTAACACGGTTTGTTCCTCAGGTCTGTCTCACTCAGAAGCAGCAAAACTTGACAACTTCCTTCACTTCAGAAAACCAAAGAACCTGAAGAAGAAATCTATCATGGAGTTTGGCGATTTGACCCCAGCTCTGGACTTCATGGATGTTCTGAGCGATGACGTTCCGAAAGGTAAAAATGACAGTTGACCCCACCTCACTGTGCACCTATGTCACCTGGAACTCTGAACACAGCTTATCTGAGCGTTTATTAAGACAAGAGCGGGCCAGACGGTCCTTTTTCCACAATATTTAGTGTCTTCCAGCTTCAGTGCTCAGTTACACCCAAATGAACCGTTGTTTTGCGTCAACTCATCCCTGTGATTCAACTCATTGAAAGGTAAAAGGCGAGTCTTCCAGTCAGAAACAACTGAATCATTTTGACAGTGAAACGGTTGAATAAGCAGAGCTCGTATTGATTGGATAAATTCCTGAAACTTCTGATGTCAGCCTCCCTTTCCCTGGTAAATTAGATTTTCTCGGAACATGCTGCAAGAATTTCCCTTTAGCTTTGCCAAACACCAGCGGTCTTACAACCACACGACTACCGTTGGATTAGGAAAATGTCGACCCGCCTACCACGAGTCTGACTTCATGCTTTTTTTGGGGAAAATTACAGAAAATGAGGCTTTTATCAGTGAATACCACACAAATTAGGAGCAAAGACCACCGGGGACTAAGCTGATATGAAATGATTAATGGGATTGTTCAAACAGTTCCAGTAGCTGATTGTGCCAAATATGGGTAGTCTTAAAATGTAGAGATTGCAAAACTTTTTACATTCAACACTTTGTTTTATGTCATTAAGGTCACGAATTTATAAGGAGTCTATAAGATCAGTGGGTAAAGAAATCTGGAGGAATCAAAACCAGGAGAAAACATGGATAGTGCGAAGACGATCATGTGAATTGAGGCGTTTCTTGCAGGTTTTAGTGAAGTCGCTCAGCTGGATGCTCTCCAGGCCGCAGTAAATTTAGTTAAAGTCTCTGGGTGTACAAGTGTTTGTGTGCGAGAGGAGAAATGTTTAGCGCCCCCGTGACTAAACATGCAACAGATGTGTGTTTTAAGAGGGCTTCCACATGTGTAAATGTTTGTGTGTGTTCTCTGAGCTGATACGGACGTCCACGGTGTCATCACGGCTACACGGACACTACACAGCTGTCTCGGCGCCACACTCACCGCAACGTATCGCATGCAACTTCTGCAAAAAAAGAAAGAGTTGAGGTTTTGTGAAGGGGACTCTGGGGGGAAATGCAGCATGATGTATATCCACTAAAAGACAGGTGCTTCCCTCCGGGGCCGCCCCCTCTGTTTTCAGCTCATGATTTATAGCTTTACATCTCCTCTATGCAGTGGCAATAAAACCTGGACAACACATGTTGCAGATTACAAACGGCATAAATACTCGGACCTGCAGTAAATCAGACTCGGAGGACGAGATAAAACAGTTGTGCAACTGTCTGTTTCTTTGGACTCATCTTCCCTTTGTGCAGAAAAACACATCAAACGAGCTTCATGTTTACATAGTAGCAGAGCCACGCTTTGTTCTGGAGTCTCCGGGTCTCGGGTTCACGGTCACACCCAAACATATTGTGAAACACTTAAACTTTAAATATGAAAACGCACAAAGGGTTGATTTATCGGAGTATCCCTCCGCCTTATCACGCATGTGAACGGAATAATCTCGGCTGAAAAGACAGATTACTGCAGCCTCTATTGTCGTTCAGATAATGACGTTCACTTTACGTCAGCTGTTTACTGAAGTCGTCTTTTGTTTTGCGCAGGATCCTGGAGTCTTCAGTTCGAGTCTGCAGGTACGACGTGTGTGCTGCGCAGCCTGCTGTGGCTCGGCCTGACCTTTTACCACGTACCGATGACGCCGCAGCACGGCTACGTCTACATCGGAGATGGGACCAAGAACCTGAACCTTCCCTTCATGCTCTGAGAAGTCTTCGAATTGACTCTTGGAATGTAATTCATGCAACATGCAGCATTACTTTTGATAATCTTATCTTGAACTAATAAAGTCAAGAGGCACAGTTTGCAGATTTATGTCTCGGAGCTCTTTGTTCCATTTAGATTTCACGCACAAAAGCGAGTCCTACGCAGTCGACTCATGGAGAGAGCATTTTATTTGCACATCTGTGTTGCCTTGTGTATCCACAGTCAACATACCACCTACTTTGAAAGCGTAACACTGACCCACGCTGAGGCTCACATTAAGTTGTCAGAGTTCACTTCAAGGGCTTTTGGAGAGCGGAGCAGAGACAGGATGGATGGTTGTGGGTGGGGCTGAGGGTGATTCATTAAGAGGATGACGCAGCTTTATAAACAAAAAGGTAGAATAAATACAGATGGAGGAAGCTTTTAGGTCTTTTCCCCGGGCAGTTTGACAAAAGTTGATCCACTCCTAGTTGCATCCTCGCACAGAGCGCCCACCCACTCTGACCCGCTCGCTCTGGTTACTGTTCAGATTGGTCCGACTCTCTGTCCTTCACTGTTTGGTGTAGAGAGGCTTCACGCCGTAACGCACGTTGTTCTTGAGGATGGGGTCTCCGACAGGCATGCGTCTCTTGCACCACTTCAGTCCAGTTTTATAGATGGGTTTGGTGGTGTCGATGGACCAGCGGGTCAGGTATCTGTTAAATAAACAGCAGATGTTGACAGTGAAGTTATTGCTAGCTTCAGTTGCAGTGTGACACTTGATTGATGACGGTGACTGACACACATGTATGTGCAGACACGCATGTCTACGTTACCTGTTAAGTTGAGGTTTGGGCCTCTTTGGGACGTGGCCTTCAGGAAGTTTAGGTTTGTGGTCGGGCAGCAGACCTTGGACGCAGAAAGAAAGAAAGGAAGAAAGAAATATTCGTGCACTTAAACTTTGTCAGAGGCTGTGCCAAAAGAAACACAGACAGAACCTGCTGGAACATGGACAAGGTTTTACTAAAACAGCAACAACCTACACAGATGAACGTCTTTGAAAGCATTTTTACTGTCATTAATGACCGTTTTTCAGGATTATCCTCACAGTGGTTTCCTGTTTTAAATCAGTTTATCGGTCAGAGGGTGGTTGTAAATGGATATTATACATTATAAGGCAATATTAGCCTTAATTTGGGGGTATAAATGAAGGAGATATGCCTTAACTCTCTTGTTTTAGAAGTGAGGATTTGTTTTATTTCTGTTTAAATCAAAATATAATCAAATTACATAATTTATTATTTTTATAATTGAATTCAGTTCTTAACAAAACAAAACGCCCATCAACAGAAAAATGCTAAAATGTTTTGACCGGAATTTTAAATTAAATTATCAATTAATGTCATCCTAAACAAACAGATGTGAGTCATTAACAACTGTACAAAAGGCTGAGATCTGCGTGGTCGTCTCTTGATTCACTGTCAGGGGTTTGATCCCAGGTGCAGAAATCTCCTCAGGGGAAGACACTTCTAGGGCTGTGATCCACCAAACAAATTCTTGGTCGACTAAGACTCTGAAATTTTTGACCAAAAATCAACTTTTGGGAGGAGGAATTTTTCCAACTCTGACAGTAAATTCTTCTGCGGGGGACGAAGCGGCTTGGCGGAACGCGGCTCGACAGGGAGAAAATATACAGATATCAGCAAAAATATCCTTGTTGAAAGTTTGATTTCTGTCAGTATGTCACTGAGGGGTGTGGTTTTGGGATGTTGGGCGGGTTATTTAAATCTCAAAGGTGTTGTCAGTTATGGTTGTGGTCAGCTCTGATCATTTTCTGTTGACCATTTTTCACCGTTTCACTCATCCTGTTTTGACCTCATTTCATCTTATCACTTTTTGGACCTGGATCAGCGTGTTTTCTTTCCTTTTTTGAACAATAAACCACTTTTTTAACACTCAAACTGGACTGATAATTGAACGAGTGACAGATGCAAGTGAACCTAAACCCCAGCAGCCTTTTTTGTTGACGGAAAGCACTCGCTACAGGGGGTGCTCTGAAAACACCCCATTGGCACTTGGTACATTCCTCCTGATGAAATTAACCACAGACTGTAAATTGACCCAGAAAAAATCAAGTCGACCATCAGAATTTTGGTCGACTAAGCACATATCGACCAATAACTCAACCAGTTGACTAGGACTTAACAGCCCTGCTTAGCATAGCGCCCCCCATGGACTGGAATTGGAACAGCAGTAAAGCTGGTGGGTGGACGCTACATGGAGATGTTTTAGGGTCAGATACGGCGATGTTATGCAGCATGACAACAAGACCAAAATGCGTTTACATTCACGCCCGTCACTGATAAGTCTCCTCCAGTTTAACCAAACCCTGCAGCACTAACTGTAATGTTTAAAACATGACAGCTTTCCCATGAATATGAACATGAAAACAAACACCTGTGCAGACATCTTCACTGACTTGAATGAAATGATCGTTTTCCTTAAAGCTCTGATTTCCTCTTGGTTTCTCTTTCTCATCTCTCGCCGCTCACTCGTGCTGAATCGTCCTGAATATTTCCCGCTGTGCTCCTGCACCCTCTCACCCGGCCTTAATGTGGAAATCTCAAAACATCTTTTGGCTCCGTAACATTATCCTCTGTCAAAAAAGGGTGGCTAAGTAACTCACTGACCTTCTCTCTGGGCCATCTTCACACAGATCGTAATCTTCCGATGTTCCTGCAGACAGAGACCGGTGATCCTCCTGGGCAGCATCCCTCCATCCGACCTAATGAACTGACTGAGCAACAACACGTCCTGAGGGCGAGGAAAAGCAGAGCGTTTTAAAAACCAGCTGATCTGATTTCACTCCCATTATGTGGACATGAACCAGCCTGCAGGTGTGTTTACCGTGTAGTTGTATTTGTGCTGCAGATTCCACCTGTAGATTGGACACTTGGCTGTGGGGTTCGGAGGCTGCGGTGCGGTCGGGACTTCCAGGATTTTTCCTTCAATCTAACAGTCAATTTAATTCAGCTTCAGTTAAAAGAACAATAACCGCCCTGATTACAAAATGTACCTGAAATGTGGCTGTTACTGGGGTTAGGTTAGATACAGGGGTTTAACACTCTTTCATTTTAAGTCTCTCTGTAGTTTTACTGAAATGAATGAATGTTGTAAAGCTTTATATTGGAGTTCTCCAGCCCCTAACAACCAAGCTTTTACTGATAAAGTCTTTAAAGTCCACATTTATATGACAGCAGGGTGTGTTTATAAAACAGAACCACAAATAGAACTCGAGGACTCCACTGGACTAAAAAAACTGTCTTTTTACTTTGAACTGAACGGATATTGTGTTTTATCTGTTTTGTTTTTTGTTCTAATTTGTTTCCAGACCTGGAAACATATTTATATGCATATCCTAACACACTACCCAGAACCCTACAAGTGTCCCTTTAATAGTTATATATCTGATATCATAACAGACACCAACACCACACAGACAGACAGCTTTATGATCATTTACTGAACTGATGTGGTCATCTGTTGAGCCTTCATGGTCATTTCTGTCGGGGGTAGCACTCATTTTCTTTGTTTCTCACTAACAGTGCTGTCGGCTTCACCTGTTAAAGTGCTATGGTTGGGTGTAGCTGCTGTTTGCTACGACTTTGCAGTTGTTTGCTACTTGGTTCTAATTCAGCACATGATTGGTTCAGACCCGGAGCAACTCCCCTTTTCATTGGCTGTTTGTATAGTCTACCAGAACATGGCAGAATGCCGACTATTGAAAAGCATATTGACCATGTTGATATTGAGGGAAGTTAATTTTCAGTATGTTATCGTTTAATCGCCCAGCCCTAGGTGCCTTAAAATGCCGCAGTTTTTATGAACTCCTTTCTCTGTAAAAACATACTCATGTCCAAAAAAAAAAAAAAAAAAAAAAATCAGTGTGTGAAAATGACTCAGAGTTAAACAAAATACTGAAATTTGTGATTTTGTGCGATTATGTATGATGGCAAAAAATCATTAAAAAATATCAGATTGGTGGTTATTTTAACACAAATGAAGCTGATAACACACAAGGTTAAACTCACCATCGATATTTTATCCTCTTTCTTCTCCACCACTGCAAGATTAAAACAGAAAAAGACACAAATGTTAAGTTTTAATAACAACAACACAATTTTTTTTGTCTTTTCCTCTTGAATATCATTGAAAAGTGTTAAAAATGTAAAGTTAAATTGATAAGCAGTGACATGGGGCTGTTTTTTGTTTATCATTTATAAATTTACAACAGATTAAAAAAATAATCTTCACATTTTTAAGGAGGTTTGAAGGCAAAAAAGGCAAACAAATCGATAATGACACTTAAATCAGTTATAAACCACAGAGATCTGCCCCCAATGAACGTATATCCGATGTATTTGTAAAAGGAATGAAGTAAAAGAGCATATTTGATGATTTTAAGGTTAAAATAAACTCATTTTCACGTATTTTCCGCCTCCGTGTCTCTGTGTTTCCTCCTCACATTTCCGCTTAACTCTCACCTTGTCGGATTCCTCTGCTCTGAAAACTCAAAGCTGGAAGTCCAGGAAAACTCGTCCTCTGATGAACTTGTAGGTTTGGACATGTGGTTTTTAATTTGAAGCCTGTTAAAGAAGTCCATGCAGACCTCAACAAACTGCGGGCCGCCATGTTTATTTCCTGACCTTCGCCGTCTCCTCTTCCTGTCTGTTAATCTCGCGAGAATGAAAACAGCGACACCCTAGGTGAGGGGGCGTCATTACATCAAAAAAAAAAAAAAAAAAAGTCTCATAAGAAAGAGTTAAGAAAGAGTAAACAAATCATTTTTAATTCCCAAAAGAGAAAGAGAGAAATGTAGTTGTTTTTAATTAACAAAATACATTAAATTAAAAGAAAATTCCCTTTAAAGTTCAGATTTACGAGGTTTGAGATTTGTGTTTCTCTGTCGTGACTTTTCTCTCAAAGGGACTCCACATTTTCTGCCAAGGTCACAATCTAATTTATGACATCCGCACCAAACAAACATGTAACATTATCAAACCCGAGGGAGAAATATCAAGATGTGGCACGTCGAGAAAGAAAAACAAAAATGAGGAAAAAAAGTGACAGTGACATGCGATCACACAGCTGGAGATTCCTCCAACGCTCTGAGAAGGACCTGTATTAAACCAGGATATATTTGTCAGCAGGGACTCGCAGACTGCAGTGCAAAGGAAAGTATTGTATATCCTGCAACCTTTATATGATAAGCTGCAGCATGTATTTCTGGATGCCACAGATGCTTTAATCCTTTTTGTTTAGATGCTCTGGGTGCAAAACAAAGATAGGCTCACTCCTCATACCTCTATACATACCACACTCATCAGATCAGAGTATAAGAGGCACCATACAGGAGCAGTGTAGGAACATGTCAAACCTTTGTAGCAGAAAGTAGAGGATACAGGCCGAGTCTTCACGCCGAGATAAAGAGATTCGAGGAGATAGTTCGATGTTTGATAGCAGGATCATGAGAACAGTGTGCCATTGTCAGCAGCAGGTTGTGTTTTGCTCCGTGTATCTCCTGCTTCATCTGTTTTGTAAGCTTGGGCTGGCTGCAGGAGTTTACCTGCACACAGAAGTTCCTAAAATACAGTTTTTCAGTTTTCTCCTGTCTGCAGAAGAGCAACGTGATAACTCGAAAAACATTGATGATTAAACAGCTGCCTCTTTCTGCACAATGCAGGTTTTTTATTCCTAGTATGAATATTTTTGTGCAAACAAGACTCCTTTTGTTGATCACTTTTTTCAGACACACATGTCCCTCAGTGGCTGGAGAGGAAACGTGCATAGTATACCTGGATTTGAGTTTTAATTGATATTTTGAAATAATAATTTATGCATCTTTTAATAAAGGCAGAGTTACGGTGGAGTGTAAGACAAAATTCAACCTCACTCTTATGTTATGTTATAAAGTTATGTTACATTAAGTTTAGTTACATTATGTTAAACTAAGTTTTGTTTAATTAAGTTTTGTTATGTTATGTTACATTACCTGACGTTACGATACGTTTTGTTACTTTTTGTTATGTTACGTGATGCTACGTTATGTTACATTACATTACTTTTTATTCTCGTTTTGTTACATTACATTATGTTACATTTTGTTTTGTTTTGTTACATTAGGTTACATTTTGTTATATTACGTTATGTTACTTTATGTTTTGTTATGTTATGTTTTATTACATTAGATGACGTTAAGTTTTGGGGTTTTTTGTTATGTAACATTTTGTTTTGTTTTCTTACGTTTCGTTACATTATGTCATTTACAGTATGTAACGTTACATAAGTTAGGTTACCTTAAGTTAGTTACGTTAAATTAAGTTATGTTTTGTCACGTTTTGTTATGTTACCTTAAGCTACATTACATTAAGTTACATTACATTAAGCTACGTTACATTAAATTATGTCACGTTAAGTTTTATTAAGTTACGTTGTGTTACGTTACATTATTATATTATAACTATAATTTGTTATGTTACTTTATTTACGTTTTGTAATGATATGTTTTGATATGTTATGTTATGTTTTGTCATGTTGTGTGGATTTACTAAAAAGTGACAGTGAGTAATTTTGGCGTCACTTTTTAGGTCTTGTGTTAGTTGTTGCAGTTATGCGAGAATGTCCCCAAAACCCTTGTGTGACCCTGAATGCATCATTCAAGTGTGAATCATCAGGACTCGCTCATATCACGGATATTTTGTCTCAAGGCCAAAAATGTGAAAAATTTCTCAAATGCCATCCAAACCATGGCGCCTGATAGAAGTGGCACTGAGATGCAAATGTTCCTCTGAGCCGGTCTCGTCTGCAGAGCAGAGTGCAGATAGATGGAGATTACCGTCACCCCCCGCCACAAAGGAAGCATTGTCTCAGTGATCAGGTCCCTTCGTCAAGGACACTTAAGCAGTCACATTCCTTGAGAGAAGCCCAAAAAATGGCATTTAAAGTGTCTGGCCACCTCCTCAGCGGCTTTGATATTCAAATGAAACATGGCCCTGTACAAACAGGCACCTCAGCTGAGAAAGAGGGGGCCGAGTAAATCAGATAGGATTTCCCTCAGATGAAAAGAGCTCGTCTGACATTTTCACAGCGAGTGCTGAGGGACACTGAGGCAATGTTGGTTCGATGTCATGGTGGGAAGTTATTGCTGAGAGGAAAAGGTTAGCGTTTTCACCCCCTGCTCCCCTGGATAAAGTGCTAAAAACGCAGCGTGGAGCGAGCAGACTGGAGCGAAGATGAGTGGGCACAGTCTCATCACACAAAAACAAATCCAACCCACCCCGCTGCATTCCCCTTTTATTGTCCCACCGGTCAGTTTGTTTTGCCTTTAATGTTTTGGTGAAGACTGGAGGGCCCCCGGTGATAGCTTATGCTGAGGAGTCTAAACACAAAAAGAGCTGCAAGAAGGTCATAACAGTCTCTGTGGGATCTGAGGAGTTGGATTTCCAATGGTACCATTTATCTTAATCACTCAGTTACACAATCGGACTGTTGTGGTGAGGCTGTCTTTGCTCCTCTGCAGATAGTCACTCTACTTTTACCTCAGATTTGGTCTCCACCTGTGCCAGGAGGACACGTTTAACTCTCAGTTTTAAAAAGTCAATAACAGGCCGAGTTAATAGATTTTGTCAAGTCTGTGGAAAGGGGTCCTTGCCTGTTAACACTGTGGCAACAACATCAGCACAGTTCTGAAAGAGACACAGATGTGGGAAGAGCAACAACAGACCAGCCTTAACCATCCCTGTACCAAAATCTAGCCAATGACGGCAGAGCTGGTGTATGGTTAGCCTGTGGCAAGAGACAACTCATTATCCCGCGATTGCACATGAATCCACGGGTTCTTGTGAGTTCTCGCAATTCCTGTTGTCTGTAATCTGCCACGAAATTTGCCTCACAAATGGATTCGGTAGGAATTGGTGGATGACGAAGATTGGAGCTGTTCCAGATGTGTTGAAAATTGGGGGTAAGTTGCATACGGGTTATTTTCACCGTTAGCAGCAGTTAATTCGCAGCAATGATGTGTTGTGGCACTTGCCTTGTTTAAAATAGTTCCTGGATGACCATCTAAAGGTTTACACTCATGTCCCCCCTCTTTGCCTTCTCTGCAGACTCTTTTGTAGGGTGACAATATTCTGAATCTGGGTCCCTGCCTTTCCACGCACTTGCATGGAAGCCAGAGGCAAGAGGAGCCCCTTCCTGCCCTTCGCGAGCCATCATGAAAAGGCGATAGCATGCGAGGTTCTGTTCGGGGCCCCCCATTCTCCACGTAAGCATGTGTGAAAGGCCAGCGGCAGGAAGAGCACCTTCCCGCCCTTGATGAGGCATCATGAAGGCAGAAACAACAGGGGGTAGAGCAGAACAGGGGGTAGAACAAGAGCACTTCAAGGGTAGTGGAGCAGTAGTGGGTTGCTGGTTGGCGGTCGAAGAAGAGGAAGAGGTTGGGTTAGGGCAGTTTTAAATAGGGCGCACTAAAGACACGGGGCCAATAGAGGCTAGAAGGAAGTCAGCTGGGCCATCACTGGTTGAGGTGGCTACTTGCCATTATCTGCGGATCAGCGCTTGACGTTATGACCCGCCAGAACTAACGCTATGCTTCACTTTATAAACTTCCCTGAAGGAAGCTGGACAGACCCTGATAAAGAGGGACATGTCCGGGTAAAAGAGGACTTATGGTTACACGAAGTTGTCCCTGCTTTGGTCTCCACCAGCTCTCGAGGGGCTCTAGTTGGTTGTCTTTGAACTTAAACCCAATCCTCTGACAGTTTTGTATTTGTTGCCGCTGTCATATCGATCAGAGCTTCTCTTCAAGGCGTCTCCAGAAGTTTTCGACAGGACGCCTCCTTCCCATGCGGATGGAATGTGTGGATTTGCTGCCATCCAAATTGATGGGCACAGTCTGGTATGCAATTAAGGCCTTGGCTGTCACTAAGAGGCTTTCCTGGGTGATTAACTTGTAAGGGCTGTTGCATCCAAGGAAGTCAACTGAACACAATTAGCCTATTTGAAGGGAGTGAGTTTGCTTAAAGAAGGCCCCCACTGCTCGCGAAATGAGGTGAGGGTGAAGACGTTCGCCTGAGGAAGACAGCTGGAAACACCGAGAGAGGAAGGTTTCATCAGAGCTCAAGGTTAAGAGTGACATCCAGAGTGAGTTTACTGCCCTCATGGCGGGTAAATCTCCCCCACGAGTGACATGAATCTCCATCCATCCGAGTATCAACCCCCACCACCTCCTCCCCCGTCTCTCAGCCCTCTTACTCACCCCTCCTCCCTCCCCGGCTCTTATTTGGGTGTACGTGCTAAATGGCACTGGCTTCTCCAACAAATCACTGCTCTTTGAAGAGGCTCTTATCCCCGTTTTACCTCCGCTTGGCCGTCTGAGAGTGCCAGCTTCTATCCTCTGTGTCTCACACACACACACACACACACACACACACACACACACACACACACACACACACATTCATGCTGCACCTAAATCCACATTCATGCATTCACACACGTTCCCCTGCATCTGCCTTTCTTGTATGCACACCTTTTGCTCGAATTTTCATGCAGGTTGCGTCGCCTCGTCTACAACGGTTCCTTGCTCTTTGAGTGGCCCCTCTTCAAATGTTTGGAAACATTTTGTCCTCTCTCTCTTTTCTGCATTTCTTCCTCTCGCTCGGACTGAGTTTTTGTTTTAGTTTGGCACTTGTCCTG